CCCCTCCCCCAACCTCTCCCTCCTCCCGTCTCCGCGGTACCAGCTGCTTATGTCTTCGTACTGTGATATAAGAGACGGCAGTAGATTACTTGAAAAGCAACAAAAACACTCGGCTGCACTTCATGTTCTAAGCTTGCCTCTCTCGTCCTCTACACTTCTCCCAGCGTATATATTTATATCTATATACTATATATACATATCGTAACGTGACAATCATATTAGTAGACAGATTTGTATATTCATACTTTCGTTTCCGTCAATCTTCGTTGCTGCGCTCACTTGTGAGAGATCTTTTCAACACTCGAAGATAAATTTCGTATCTCCGCGCGCCCATGTAATATCCTCTATATCTATAATTAAGTCGATTGACGAGACATTTATTTGTATTTGTTTGAGGCAAAAAACGAGATTAAAAAAAAAAAATTACATTAATTTTTGGGAAGAAAATCCCCCGGCCGTTGTATATCTGCCAAAAGGAAACAATATTGTTTCAGTGTAATGTGGTGCCATTTCATTTATAGCGAATTGATCGGTATCAAATTTATATGTTATGCAAAGTGAACCGATATATATATATATACACCGAATTCCTAAAACTTTGACAATTTAGCGGTATATATACATGTATATATATATATATAATGATAATAATAATAACGATAAATCAGCGCCAACCTGATTCTGAAGAAAAAACTGTGATTTCTTTTGTATTTAACTTTTTTTTGAGAAGCAGATTTTAGAGTCTATTGTGAAATACATAATGAATTAGCGTTTGACCATTTATCAGCGTTGGCTTGAAAAAAAAGTCACCGCCAATTTCGTCCATCTCACTAGAAAAATGAACTGAAAAATCTTATTCACTTACCTGTTTTAGAAGTAAATAATGTTCACTGAATAATCAGCCAGAAGAGACTGCTAGCAAAGGGCTGGTAAAGTTGAATGGAATAAACTCAACAAAATACTCAATATATATCATTAGTGTTATAAAATGAAATACGCCATGGCTACCAGTAACAACAAATATACTCACTTCTTTGATTTGAAAGATAATCACCGCACTGCGATCTGTGCTTTTATTACGAGTCATTTAGTAAGTAAATGATGATCTTTACATTCGACATTCTAAGTGGTTATTTGAAGTTTTCATTGACAAAAGATAACTAATTTATTATATGATGATACAATAACCGTTGCTTGGTAGTTTAGGGAACATTACCATGGAAATCTTTAAATGAAAAGGCTAAAGAGATATCAAACTTCCAATAATGGGTTTAACTGAGGTTAAATATATATACATATATGTATGTATATGTATGCATATATGTCTTTGTACTGTGATATAAAAACCCTGGGAGCTTGGAGTTTAGGAACACGAGGCGTGGGCGAGTGTTTCTCTTGCTTCTCGAGCGTTCTGCTGCTTTCATAGACATAATGAGTCGTTTTATATTTCTTTTATCCTTTTATAAAATATTTTTGAACTAGTTGTGCGAGGATTTTTCTGTCCTCTGATAGAAACACGGTAGCCAGCGGGCACGTTCYAATTCATAATTATATAATTTAAATAATTTTTTTTCTTGTAAATTTCGTTTCTCTCAATTTTGCTGGGATTGATCTGACAATAACAGCAAATGAAGTCGTTCAATATCATCATGCTTACGTCCTTTTGAGTTAAAATGTTTTCCGATTTCAGTTTCCTAGAGTAAAAGATTAAGTTGCTTCACCTCAGGCCCGTAGCTAGGATTTTTGTTGGGGGTGCTAGTTTACAAAAAGTGGACCAACCATATACTTTATTTTTTTAAAGTCCCATAGGACACATAGGTATAGATAAATTATATACTGAACAAACAATAGTTTAAATCGTGCAAATCTCGTGGATTGACATGACTTCGCAGCGGCTTTTCGTTTTCTATTTTCTTGTTCACGTCTTCCCATTTCTAGAGTTTCGGTGACTTTTCAATGTGATTAGACTAACAATTTCTGTGAATACAGTCGATTGCTACTACCGTCCACTGACTCTAACATGTTAATGTCTGTTACAGTAAACTTAAAAGCAAAACTTGCTTAAACTTCAAAGTTCCACCGCCTATTATTACCTATAATTAGTTGACAGACATTTCAGTAATGAGTTTAATAGGCAGTGAAAGTCTGACTTTGCCGAGAAAACATGTTCTTGTCTAGACAGTGGATGCTTAGACGGTAAAATTGGGAGCGAACACAAATTAAGGAAATATAGGCGTATAGTGGTTCTCGCTGCGGGTTTTATTTCAGTTGCATACTTTTCTAATAATCAACCAGAATCTGTATAGAGAAGCGTTGTTGTATCATCAGATGAAAAAGTAAAATTGATTTTTTTTACTTAGTTTTACGTGAAAATATCATACCAGCCAAAATCTCACACCTACACCCCCCATAGCTACGGGCCTGCACCTTATACAAAACTGTTAAAAATATATACACCTACTTGCAAGAACGTTGTCATACGAAAATAAGACATTAGTGATTTAGTGGGATAGGAATTATATTAAAAAACAAAAGAGGCACTGAAGCTGAACTTTTTCTTTTGTTTTTTAATGTATTCCTTTCTCACCAAATTACAAATGTTCTATTCTTGTATGACAACCTTCTTGCAAGTAGGTTTATATATACTTTGGGAAATGATATGTGCTCTGCAATGGGAAAACATTAGGGCCAAGTGCATTTAATCTAATGTCCTCTGATCTGATTCACCTTACATAGTTAGTAAAGCACTTTAAATATATTATATATTGTACAGTATGCTGCACACACAGTATATGTATTATTGACGTGGAAAAATATGATAATAAATGCCTAGCTTTAGCATCGAATTTCACATTTTTCCGAATCTAACTGCTTTAAAATCAATCCAAACAATAAGTTTTGTTCATTCAAAGAAGATTTGACAAATGTAGAATTCAACGTTTAAACCTGACCTTAATATCATTTGCAGTTTTTGCTATTTTCACGTTTTTTTTTCTTTTTGCAGTATCGTGTTTAAATAAAGGTTTTGGTTGCTTGATTCAGGAGTTCAGTGCCAGTACTAATATCGTTCCGAAAATAGTAATAATAATAATAATAATAATAATAATAATAATAATAATAATA